TTTCGAAATGGTTCCTCTGTGATGAGGAATAAAATATAACATAGTTTCCCACCGCTGTTCTGGAGGTAAAAAGGGGAAAATCGGGAAACACTTGGCAACAAAATTTCGAATTTGAAAATAGCGAAACAAATGGGTAATAGGGAGATTATAACGAGAAGACAAATTGGGAAAACTATCGAACACACCATCCACATATAAATGTTTAAACTGTCCTATACCCTTGTCACACCACACTGAGAATGTCGTGTCCAAAAGTGAAGGGGGAAACAAATGATTGTTGGTTAGAGGACCCGAAGAGGATGGCATTACAAAATTATTGTGTCGTCTAAACTGAAACCAGATTTTGAGTGTGTTAAGAACCACCGGATTATCAGTATACAAAGAGGGTTTTACGGGTAAAGAGGAATAGAGCAAAGCTGGTAAAGAGGAGCCCTTACATGATAATAGCTCCAATTTACACCACGAGGAACCAGAAGATTTTAGCCAGTAGCAGAGTTTTTGAATGTGAGCGGCCCAGTAATAAGCTAGAAAATTAGGTAATGCAAGTCCTCCACTAAATCTGCATTGCTGCAGCAACGTTTTAGAAACCCTAGGCGGCTTCCCTCCCCAAATAAAAGAACCAATAATCTTGTCCAGTGAAACAAAGAAATGTTTCGGCAAAAATAAGGGAATTGAGTGAAATAAAAATAAAAATTTTGGTAGGATATTCATTTTAACGACATTAATCTTACCGATTAAAGAAAGCGGGAGATTACCCCATCTTTGAATATCAGATGTGATCCTAGATAAAAGAGGAGACAAATTTGCTGATTTAAGGCCAGATAGAGAGCGAGTCACGTTAACCCCTAAGTACTTAAAACCAGAGGGACTAAGACGAAAGGGTAGATCGGACTGTTGGAGTTGACGTGCTGCCGTATTAACAGGAAAACACTCACTTTTCCCTAAATTTAATTTATAACCTGAAAACGAGCTGAAGTTCTCCAGAATACTTAAAACAGCAGGAATGGAGCGAGCAGGGTCAGTCATATATAATAACAAGTCATCCGCATACAATGATACTTTATGTGTAATTCCATTACGGGGGATTCCCTTGAATACAGAAGAAGATCTTAATGTAATGGACAGCGGCTCGATGGCAATGGCAAAGAGTAAAGGTGACAAAGGGCAACCTTGACGACAACCACGACCCAGCGCAAAATAATCAGAATAAACATCATTAGTATGAACACTGGCTTTAGGGGATGAATAAAGAAGCTGAATCCAAGAAGTAAATTTATCACCAAAACCAAATTTCTTCAAAACTGCAAACAAGTATTCCCACTCCACCCTATCGAAAGCCTTTTCAGCATCTAAAGAAATCACAAGTTCAGGAAGTTGAGATAGATGCTTTGAGTAAATAACGTTAAAGAGTGTACGGGTATTAAAAAATAATTGCCGTCCCTTTATAAAGCCATTCTGCTCTTCGGAGATAATTTGAGGAAGCACATCCTCAAGGCGAGACGCAATTACTTTACCTAATACCTTTGCATCGGCATTAAGCAGAGATAATGGCCTGTAAGAATCACAGGAAGTTGGGTCCTTGTCATTTTTGAGAAGGAGCGCTATGGTGGCCTGCGTGAAAGTAGGAGGTAATGAACCTGATTCCAAGGACTCGTTAAACACAGACAAAAGCAAAGGTGCCAGTTTACCAATAAATGTTTTATAAAATTCAATAGGAAACCCATCCGGGCCTGGGGCTTTATTAGACTGCATAGCTGTAATAGCTTTTAATACTTCATCAGCAGATAGTGGGGAGTCCAGTTGCCCGGCCTTATGAGTACCGATAACCGGGTTTGAAAGAGACTGAAGAAATTCATTCATTTTAGCTTTATCCGTGGGAAATTCTAACTTGTACAACAAAAAGTAAAATGCTTTAAAGGTAGAATTAATTTCCAAAGGATCTGTAGTAATATTGTCGTAAGAGTTTTTAATACCAGGTATCACACGTGAAGAGGCCTGACGTCGTAACTGATGCGCCAACAAGCGATTAGCCTTGTCACCGTATTCATAATATGAGCCACGACTGCGTAGTAATAAGTGCTCAGCCTCTTTGGTTGACATAAGATCAAATTCGGCTTGCAAATCAAGGCGCTGCTTGAGTAATTCTGGAGAAGGATTCAGTGCATAAATTTGATCAAAGTTACTAATTGCCACCATAAGTTCTTTAAGCCTGGCATTAATCTTTTTATTAGTACGTACAGAATAAGAAATAATTTGACCTCTCAAATAGCATTTAAGAGTCTCCCACAGCAGAGAATATGAAACAGAATCATCCCGATTAAACAACAAGAACTCCTCAATAGAGCTTGAAATAAATTCACAACATTCTTTATCAGCCAAAAGCAGAGAATTAAATCTCCAAAGAGGAGGACTACGTTTATATGCAGAGAGTTGAACATCTAATAGCAGAGGAGAGTGATCAGATATTACAATACCAGAATAGTCGGAGTTAGTAACACATGAATTGAGAGTTCTATCGATGAAAAAATAATCAATCCTGGAATAAGATTGGTGGACCTGGGAGAAAAACGAAATTTTTTTGATTGTAGGGTTGCGAAGTCTCCATGGATCAACAAGGTCATTCTGTATCATAAAATCTGAAAATGTTTTAGACATAGATGATGGAGTTAAATTATGAGGACCAGAACGATCCAAGCTTGGAACAAAAACACAATTCAGATCACCACCAAAAATAAGCAAATGTGTATTCAGAAAGGGGATGTTACTTAGTAATTTATTAGCGAATTCAGCATCATCAAAATTCGGGGCATATACGTTTGCCAACAAAACCTTTTTCTGCATTAGGGTGCCAGCAACAATTATGTATCTACCGTTCCCATCAGCGATAACATTGGTCGAAGAGAATTGAACTTTCTTATTGATGAGAATGGCCACTCCTCTAGCCTTTGAATTGAAATTTGAGTGAAAAACCTGACCTACCCAAGGACAATATAACCTATGTTGATCCTTAATACGGAGATGAGTCTCCTGTAAAAAAGCTATGTCAGAATTCAGACGTTTCAAGTGAGTGAAAACCTTAGATCTCTTAACAGGGTTACCCATACCTCTGATATTCCAACTAATAAACCTAAGAGGCATACCTGACCCAGCAATGCTGGGGTCCATATTACCATTAACCATTCATAAAAAGGAGAAAGAAAAAGACAAAACCAAGATGCAGGTGGCCATGAAGAGAGCCAAGTGGGACAGCCCCCCCCCCCCCCCCCCCCCCCCCCAACACACCCCAAGTCTCCACAAAACAAAACAAAGGAGACAGCAGTGTACCCCAAAGTAGCAAAAAAATGGTTCACAGAAGTGATTGGACTAACTGGCGTCTAAATACAAAATAAAAGCGAGAGAGGGAACAAGAGAGAGAAAAGAAAAAAAAACACAACCTCTCGCCAACTTCTCTACAGTATAACAGTGTGCGCTTAACAACATACCACCTAGTCCTTTGAACTCTCTACAGTATATCATATAATTCAGTCTCATTAGATAACAATGAAAATAAAAGGAACCAGCACACCAACAGTATAATAACTGGCACAGCGGTCTAAGAAAACAATGCACAGGTGGCGTTAAACCTAACGAGAGCGTGAGCACTTAGTTACATTACAGCATCTAACTAAGAGGCTATTCAGGCTCACCCAGAGATCAAAGTTTTAACATAATCACTTGCCTCTTCTGCTGAGACAAAGTCCCTCTCAACACCCTTGTATGTGATGCGGAGTCGTCCTGGATGAAGCAGGCCGTACCGGACGCCTTCAATGCCACGGAGTTGCTGCCTGACCGTGTTGAATGCAGCACGAGCCCGTGCCACCTTAACGGTGTAGTCGGGGAAGATTGAGATGGTTCGGTCTCCAACTTTAATCTGTCGGCGTTCTCTAGCACGTCGTAAAATGTCAACACAGTCAGTGTGGTAATGAAACCTGCATATAATAGCTCGTGGTCGGTCGCCAGGTTTAGGTGTAGGCTGGAGGGTCCTGTGTGAACGATCCAAAAGCGGCTCCTTCCCCAGGTCGAATGCTTCTTTTAGCAAGGAGGCTACGGCAGCAGTGGTGGACGTGTCAGGGCCCTCTGGTACTCCTAATATCCTAACATTGTTGCACCGCGACCTGGACTCAAAGTCTTCACACTTGTTTTCCAGCTTGGCTACATGAGCAGTGAGGCGCTTGATAGTAGTTTTCATCTCAGCAACATCATCAGAGCAAACAGTCAGTGCATGCTCCATCTCCTTGACCGTACCTTTTAGCTCGGACATGGTAGAGTCATTGGCAGCTTTATCGATCGCCAGCTGCGTCTTCACAGCCTGCAGGTCGAACTTAATGGTGGACAAAGCATCACCCAGAGTGTCCTGAAGTTCTTTTTTAAAAATGTCAGCAATATCATTCCTCAACGAAGCAAGCAACTCGACCTTGAGAGCCCCGATATCAGGATTAGCTTGGCCCAAGGGAAACTTTGCCGGAGACGGCGGCTCACTCGAGGGTGTGGCCGCGGTTTGCAGACCAAGCTTCAGTTGTGTTTGAGTAGCATTGCGGGTTTTTACATTTTTTGCTGCCATTTTATGCCGAGCCGATTAAAACGTCCCATCAAAATAATTCAAAAATCAGAATTAGGACAAGAAATATGGTCAAAAAAGCGCAAATGAATAACAATTTAATCGAAGTCGGCAGGAGCTCCCAGACTCACGTCCTACTCCATCCTCCTCTAAATCATTTTTCGGTTAACTTATACTTTTAAAAATATATAGACTGATGTACTGAAATACAGAGAAATCAACTTGTGAGTACAATGCATGTTAATATAGTAAGCATAGAATTTTTAACATAAGCAAATTCACACATGGAAAGTATCAATGTAAATAAATCATATGGGAGTAACTCTGCTGTACTTTCATTGTGTAAAAGTAGCTCACGGGCCAAAAAAAGGTTGGAGACCCCTGCAATAGATCATTCAGCCCTAGTGGATAGTTAGATGAATTTTTAAAATTTTCTTTCAGCGAAATCTTCGTCCACAGAGCTCACAAGCAAAGGGCTTCTGTCCTTTATGGACTCTTTTGTGACCGTTTAAACTGATCTTTTGGGTAAATCTTTTCCACCAAACTCACAGGCGAAAAGCCAGTGTGGACTCTCATGTGACTGATTAAAGTTGACTTTCGGCTAAATCTTTTTACACAGAGCTCACAGGCAAAAGGCTTCTCTCCTGTGTGGACTCTCATGTGACGGTTTAAAGTTGTCTTTTGGCTAAATCTTTGTCCACAGAGCTCACAGGCAAAAGGCTTCTCTCCTGTGTGGACTCTCATGTGACGGTTTAAAGTTGTCTTGTGGCTAAATCTTTTTACACAGAGCTCACAGGCGAAAGGCTTCTGTCCTGTGTGGACACTCATGTGTGTATTTAAATGTCCCTTTTCACTAAATCTATTACCACAGAGCTCACAAGCAAAATGCTTCTGTCCTGTGTGGACTCTCATGTGTGTGTTTAATTTTGTCTTTCGGCTAAATCTTTTTACACAGAGCTCACAGGCAAAAGGCTTCTCTCCTGTGTGGACTCTCATGTGACGGTTTAAAGTTGTCTTGTGGCTAAATCTTTTTACACAGAGCTCACAGGCGAAAGGCTTCTGTCCTGTGTGGACTTTCATGTGACTGTTTAAAGTTGCCTTTTGGCTAAATCTTTGTCCACAGAGCTTACAGGCGAAAGGCTTCTGTCCTGTGTGGACTTTCATGTGATTAATTAAAGTTGTCTGATGGCTAAATCTTTTTCCACAGAGCTCACAGGCGAAAGACTTCTGTCCTGTGTGGACTTTCATGTGATTATTTAAAGTTTTCTTTTGGCTAAATCTTTTTACACAAAGCTCACAGGCGAAAGGCTTCTGTCCTGTGTGGACTCTCATGTGACTGTTTAAATTTGTCTTTTGGCTAAATCTTTTTACACAGAGCTCACAGGCGTAAGGCTTCTGTCCTGTGTGGACTCTCATGTGTTTGTTTAAATTTGCCTTTTGGCTAAATCTTTGTCCACATAGCTCACAAGCAAAAGGCTTCACTCCTGTGTGGACTCTCATGTGTTTGTTTAAATTTGTCTTTTGGTGAAACCTTTGTCCACAGTGCTCACAGGCAAAATGTTTCTGCTTTGTCTGGACTTTCGTGTGTTTGTTTGAATGTGTTTTTTGGCTAAAGGATTGAAACCTGGCAGCATCAGTCTCCTTATTCAAATGGAGATGCTCTCCCTCCATACTAGACCAGAGTTTCTCCTGTTCCTCCTTTTCGTGGAGAAAATCTAGGTGTTGGTGGTTGACACGAGCACTCTGTTCTTCTGAAGCTTCTTCTTTAACCAGAACCACCTGTTGAAAATCTGTAGGAAACACAGAAACATATTATGTGAATTACAGACAGCTGTAACTGTGTTTTCACACAGATAACAGTTGTATTATTTCTTTAAACTGACAGTAGAATGAAATGTATTTACAATTGGAAACTGAACTTTGAGCCTCTATAAATCACATGAGCCTTAACCCTCAGGCTTCACTTTAATTTTCATACAAGAGTCATTAGAGGACAAAAACGTCCGCTTGTAAAAGTGGCTATAAAAAATGTATACATTAATGTTTTTTTTTCTTTTTTTCATAGATCTCTTGAACAACTTCAGCCCTGCTCAAACATAAAAAAAATCAATCATTTTGAGGCTTTTAACCCCTGAAATGCCAGTTTGAATACTCAAAAGGCATTGATGTAAATTATAAAGAAAAAAACAACAGCACCGAGTTATTTTCTAAAAAAACAGGTAACGAAACCGTTTCTGTGTTTTAAAAAGAACGACAGCATGGAATTAGCCTTGGATATGTCAAGAGTCTAGCAAAATATCACATTTTATGCTTTTTGAAATTTGTGTAGCAGCAGATTTAAAATTTACCACCCTCTTGTGCCTGTTATGGAGAAAAACGTCCCATTGACTTCAATGCAAACCAGTTTTTGATCCTGCATTATCTGCAGCAAATATTCATGCTTTCTGTGATGTAATGGTTTCATTTTGGACAAAAGTAGTCAAATTTATGATTTTTACTGTTCACCACCAAATTCAGTCATTTCTTCATATGCTGCCCAGGCGAGAAAGTTTACACATTTCTATAGATCTTCTGCTGTTTTTATTGAAGTCAGAAGCTCAGCATGTAAACAAAACACAGTTTCACTCTCCTACTGAACATCAAAGGGTAGAAAACAAAAACAATATGTTTATGCACCTGGCTGGAGCTCAGGCACATCCAAACTCTTTGTAGTTCAGTTTGTTATGAAAGGGCAGAAGTGTGAATGCATGCATGTGAAGTGACTCCTTGGAGCTCTTCGGTCATCTCCAAAATGACACGTTTTCCCTGGCCGACCTCTGCAGCCTCACCAGCAGCTTTCCCTGTGTTAACCTGACACTTGCAGGCATAGGAAGTGGCAACATCAGCAGTGACCCAGAGTTTCAATCCATACTTTGCTGGTTTACTTGGCATATGTTGGCGAAACTTGCACCTGCCTCTGAAAGAGACAAGCTGCTCATCAGCACACACATCTAACCCAGTGTTGAAAAGCATTTGGAGGCGATGGGTCCACATGTCCCAAATCGAGCGGATAGGGGCCAGCTTGTCCTGCCTGAGACGGGAAGGCCTGTTCAGCTCATCATCAAACCGGAGGGTGGAGTTGATCATCTTGAATTTGGTGTGACTCATGGTGGCCAGGAAGATTGCACGTCCACAGTGGTCATCCCAAAGGCTGCAGGTGGATTCCCCTTTGGACTGGTACACACCAGCCAAAATCAGGAGCCCAATGTATGCTCTCACTGCGATGTCATCAATATCCCACCAGTTCTTCACCACACGTCTTCCATTTAGACTTTTTCATGTTGACGATGATTTCAGTCATTTCTGGAGTAAAGAATAAATCAAAGGAGGATACCACATCGTAAATACGTGTGATGGTGTAACGTGTTGGCCCAGGATTCAAACATCTTGCAGCAGGAACATAGTGGGAAGTTTCTGCGTTAGTAGGAAACCAGACTTGCCCACTTTTAGAAATCCATCCTGGAGCAGGATCCGTTGTCCTCCCTTCTCTTTCACTGGACAGGTCAGGAGAAGAAGTCAAGGAAACAGAATGGTCTGACTCCACCTCAAAGTCCACTGAAGATGTTTCACTCTCCTCATTTTCTCCAGGAGTATCAGGCTGCAGGAGCTGATCCAGAACTTGTTCCACAGAGAGATGCCTCTTCATTTAGCTCCGTGGCTTTCACAGAAGTGAAATGACCAGATAACCAGACTACAAGGAGTTTGAATGTGGCAGGTGCATAAACATACTAATTGTTTTTGTTTTCTACACTTTGAAGTTCAGTAGGAGAGTCAAACTGTGTTTTATTTACTTATCAGAGGTCAGGTTGGCCTTTTGACTTCAATAAAAACAGCAGAAGATCTAAAGATATGTGTAAACTTTCTCGCCTGGGCAACATATGGAGACATGACTGAATTCTACTTTTGTCCAAAATGAAATCATAACATCACAGAAAGCATGATTATTTGTTGCAGATGATACAGGATCAAAAACTGTGGTTTGCATTAAAGTCAATGGGACGTTTTTGTCCTCTAATGGCTCGAGTGTATAGTAAATTTTAAATGTGTTGCTATGTAAAAACTATAAATGCAACAAAATCTAAAGTTTAGATATTTCATAACATAATCAAGACTGATTTGTACTAAACACCCCAGGCAAAAAAAAAAGTCTTTTCTAGAAAATAACTCAGTTTTAGTGTTTTTTTCATGAATCGGGGTGATGTGGGTGTGTTTGGAGGACTTGGTCAGAAGCCGAGCACAGGCGTTCTGAACCACCTGTAGACGGTTCAGGGAGGTTCTGCTCAGACACGTGAAAAGAGAGTTACAGTAGTCTAAGCGTGAGGAGATGAAGGTGTGGAGAGCTGTCTCAAGTTCAGAGCGGGACAGAATGGGACTCAGCTGTAAGGGAAAAATGAGGTTCTTACATTTTAATTAATGAGCCGTAAGGCGTGGGATTCCATAGGAAATATGAAATCCGCCTCATGGATCGGGGTTGGTTAAACCAGAAGATCGGGTCTTTTTAATGCAGAGATCATGTAACCGTTATGTATTCACTCAGAGACAACAGAATAGAACGAGTCAAGTTTAAAAGTTAAGAAATTTTATTACTAACTGGCTATTCCAAACACAGGCGCCATCTTGTTAGCGGCCAGAAGCAGAGTATGGGTGGGATGAGGCTGGCCCATACTCTGGAACAGCAGCTGCTATGTGTGGACTCTCATGTGATTTGTTTGTTTACATTTGTAGTAAACCTTTCTCCAGTCATCATGACTAAATGATTTAGGTTTCTTCTGGACTTTCCTGCACGAGTCTACATGTTGCTTCACTCTAACACATTTCTTATGAACCAAACAGCCTGAAGACCTGACTGCTGGATGACTCGTCTCCCTCACGTGTCTCTGGAGAGACCACTTGTGAAGAACTTGTTGACAGACTTACCATCTGACTCAGAAGACCTGCTCTCATTCCAGTCATCATCTTCATCTCCAGTTTCAGACCCAGAGTCTGACAGCTCAGAGTCCAGATTCACATCATCATCATCGTCTTCATCTCCACTAACTTCAGTCTCTGAAGAATCAGATGTTTGTTCATGAGGGTTCAGATCTGGGTTCCTGCTAGTTCCTGCTCCTCCACCAGTTTCTGCGGTCATCTGGTCAGCTGAGCTGCTGGTTGGAACATCTCTGTCTTCTATTTGCTGCTGATGAAGCTGTGAGACCAGAGGTTTCTCTTCATCATCCTCACTCTTTATAGAAACAGCAGTAACAGGAGACCCGACAGCTTCAGTCTCCTCCTTCAAACAGAGATGCTCTCCCTCCAGACTGGTCCAGAGCTCCTCCTGTTCCTCCTTTATGTGGAGGTGTTCTGGGTCCTGCTGGTCCACACCAGCACTCTGTTCTTCAGGATCTTCTTCTTTAACCAGCACCAGCTGTTGAACATCTGTAGGAAACACAGACACATGATGTTACACACCACCATACCTTTATATTTACACCACGAGTGATACCGGCTACATGATGTGGGGAAAAGGAACAAGAACATGAACTTCATTTAGATAAAAACATATTTCTACTTTAGGATCAATAAAAACTTCCATCACAATCAGCGTGTTTGGTTCTGACCAGAACTTCTAAGCCTCCAACTGTCAAGTGTTTTCTTCCACTGTGAGGTGCCGACACTTGGAAAGAGCAGACTTTGGATTTCACTCAGAACAATTTATTTGACCAGTACTGAGATCAGTCCGGGTTCAGGAACCAGTCAGGTGGAAAAGCTTTAAATAACAAAAATAAACATGTAACTAAATCATGCAGATAAACTTCAATGCTGTTACAGGTAATACAGAGCAAGGAGAACACACCAGCATCTTTAGTAACCTTCAGTTGGGCGTCTAGTTTTAGACAAGTACTATTCTATCTGCTTTTACAAGTACTGGCTGCTAATTCAGAGATGAATCATTTCACAATGAAGCAAGGATGAAAAAAGACAGATTTTACCAGACAAATAATTAAATACATGAATACATCTGTTTTCTGCCTTAACTTGCTTTCATTTAATTTACTATTATTCCTGCAGTCATTTCTGGCACTCCAGACGTTAACACACTTCCTCTCAGTAAATTCCATTCACACCCAGACGGATAAAGAGTCCATATAAAGACGTGAATCCAAGAGCTTACCGACAGCCCGTCAAGATCAAAGTCTTCCTCCTCACAGTGTACCCATTTGTGTTCGCTCTGCACTCCTCTCAGTCTGCCGCGCGCTGGGCAAAAGCTTGTTGCAGACATTTTGGCTGTACTTCATTTCCCCCGAGCACGAGCTCTTAACTGCCTCAATTCTGCTCACCTGGCGAGGCGCGCGCCGGAGCGCACGCAGGTTCCATCTGCGGTCACGCGCTGGCAACGCGCAACGGAGTCAGCATGTAGGGAAAGGATGAGGAACAATAGAGAGGGGCAGCCACACCTCTAAGGTCAGCGCAACACCTACTCACAACTCATTCTTTAGATCTGAAGCTGATGTGAGGAGAAACGTCTCCAAGATCAAATCAGCAACTATTCAGTCAAAAGGAAAATGAATAAACACTTAGATGTAGCTGCTGTCAGTAACAACCTTTAACTTTTAAGCTCTCAGCAGGCTAAAGCACTACAAAGCAAAGGAACCTTACAAATTAGCACTTTGGGAGATTTATTGTTGTTATTATATTATTATAGTAGATGTTATTATATGTCCTGTAGTGGGTTACTTGGTGATTGAGCAGTGGGCGGAGCCTGTTGTTTTCTACTCATTGTCTTATGTTCTAGCTTTAGTGTTCAGCGTTTTATTGGAACTCCTTGTGTGACCTCAGTCTGGGACACATGCTGTATGAATAAACTTGGTTCTTCTTCCACCACAGAGAAAGGCTGCTCTTCCAGCATCATGAACTTCCTTATGGACCGGTTATTAGCCGAGCCTTCTGACGCTCATACAGACGGGTGTTGGTGAGCGTAGCTGCGTCTGACTGGGAGGTGTTTATCTCTGCAGCGATCCCTGGAAACTCACCTCACTCCACCCAGATGTTGTTCTTCACATCTTATTAAACCAGCTGTGATCAGCTTCCCCAGGAGCTGGAGCTTTTCATTGCAGGACTCAAAGCTTACATCACTCTCGCAGACAGAGTTAAAGTTAGGCGGACATGTTGTTTTACATTGTTGCTGCTGTCCTGCACAGCATGAAGGAAAAGGGGAAGAACCCCAAGTGCATCACACAGGGTTCACACAGGTGTTGCTGGTATGATCAGAACATCCCAAACTAACACCAACGTAGATAAACAATAAACAACTTGTATTAAGTACTGATGAGCTATCTGCAGGGGAACAGGACCAGCTGGCATCCTCACACAAAAAGGAGGAATGGGTGTCTTTTATAGGACAGCCAGGCACTAATTGGTGTGTTTCCATTACCGAAACTTCCCAGTATGACCGTCTCCACTTCACCGGAGCCAGCCGAACCGGTCCTTTTCCAGACCTTTTGAGAGTCTTTGCAGGTTCTGTGGCCTCACCCAGATGACCCGCGGGCAAACCCAGTTCTAACCAGAACTGGGGGACGGAGGGTTTCAAAGCATCTGTCAGCATTCATTCTGGACAGTTTTACTTATTTTATGCTTCTTTGTGAGAAATGTCCTCATGTCCCCGTGTCTGTGGAGGGATCAGACAAGGACACTGCTTATTATGGGATAGTAATGGCACTGACTCCTCCTCCAGCTTCCACAAGCCTGTAGTTTCACTTTGGTTCGTTCGGTCTTTTATTTTCTAACTTTGTTGACAACCATGTCAGTCACGCCCACCATGCGTGCAGCAGAGCAACCAGGAAAACGTGGAACGGATTTCAGCCGACTGAGTCATTTCTAATGAATCAAGTGGAATGGATTTCTTTGAGAACAATGGAAAGAGAAAAAGGTGTGTGTGTGTGTGTGTGTGTGGGGGGGGGGGGGTTCCCTTCTGACATAAAGGTTGCGACATCTAAGAACCACCTCCACTCAGTCAGCCAATTCAGTAGTTTGCTTGTAGTTTAACTCTTGATCCAAACGTTGGACCGTTTCTGCCTCTAACGATGGTTTCCGTCGTTGCTGGTTTCTCTTTTTTCCACCACAGCACCGAGATCACCACGTAGAGCTCCAGTAAAACGTGTTCAGACTGTGGAGCGCACGTTTAACGAAGCTTCGGATCAGTAAAAAATGAATCGAGGAACTTAATGAATCGAACCATTTGATGATTCGTTTCAGCCCTACTTCCTTTCAACGCTTTAACAACTCTTTAACTGTCATCGGCATGTTTTTACTGTGTGGGCATCGGAACGAGCCCCCGCACCGTGAGAACAAACATCCCAGCTCTAAAGCCGATCTTCATCCGCGTACGTCACACGTAACGTGACCAGGAAGCAGAAAGTCCACGTGTTAGATCAGGGGAGTCAAACTCAAACTCACACTGGGCTGAAATGAAAATCTGGGACGGAGTCGAGGGCCAAACTTAATATTTTTAGGAAAAGTGACGGCAAATTTACACATTTTCTTTATCAACATTTATGCAATTTAGAACCTTTTAATTTGGAAACAAACTTATTTCTGCATTAACACTGAATGTGGAATAACCAGATTACACACGAGCAAGTCAGTTTTAAATAAAACACATCAGTGGTATTCATTACTTGTGGTATATTCAGCACTTTTAAAATCTGTTCAGGAATTATGTTTTCTTGTTGTTTATTCATTTTTCTTATTTTTATTCTCCTTTTTTCTCCTGTAATACGTGTCATCGCTGCTGTGACGTCTAGCTTTCCCCACTGAGGAACAATAAAGGGATTTTCTATTCTATTCTATTCATCTATCTGCAGCCTTTCCACTTCCTGTTTACTGTAGGTTAAATCTTTTCTCACGGGCCAACAACAAAATAAAAATATCATTTTATCTTAAATGAAAATGCAACATCTCACCTGTTAACTTTCATGTTTTGGAGCAGAAAAAGAGCAGAAAACCAACATATTTAAAGCTCAGTTTGCTCCACTGGTTTACTGTGATGCTCACCTGTTCCAGCCAGATACCTGCATCATGGGGTTGATCTGAGCTGAGGAGGAGACTCCTGTTGTTTTGTTCATCTTCATCATAATAATGACAACATTAGATGACAACAGGTGCTCACATAGGTTTGTGCTGCTGAACATGTCTGAGCAGCTTGACCACGTCGTTGTGTGTCGGGGAGGAAAAATAACAACTACAGCAGCCACAGAGTCATGCTGGTTTGAGCGTGTCGCTGCTCGCTGGAGTTATATCAGCTCTGTCTGGAAGTTAGCTGGAAAACTTTCTCTTTCAGTCGTGAACACATTACTGAGCGGTTACAATCTCTGTTTCTGGGCTTCAACATCAGAAAATAGCTGAGTGAACTCGGCGCTGAGTGAGAGGAGTGTTTAGTTTGTCCGAGACCGCGGAGCTGCAGACACCGGCAGCAGACGCTGGAGAAAACACAAAGGAGGGGGCGCTTCGGCTCCGCGCTAACGCTGCAAAGCATCATGGGAGTTGTAGTCTTAGCGGGTCAGTTTTAATATATTTTTGATAATTATCTCTCGGGCCACATGAAAATGCTCCACGGGCCACATGGTGTCTGACACGTGTGTGTTAGGAGATCGTTTTGGGACGCTGCTGTAAAAAAAAAGTGAGGCGAGAACCGGAAAAGCTTCTGCCGATCACAATTCAACAACGGCTTATGAAAGAACGGATAACGTTCAAAATGCGCGGATTCTTCCTGTAAGAGGTGAGTCTACTCTTTGTTTTGGTAGTTTTGGCGTTGACATCATCATAGAGCAACGTTCTGTGACTCTTAAAAAAACAGTAAAAACGCTGAAAAACGCTGGCAGCGAAGAGCTTTTCTGATCAGGAAACGGCTGGCAGTGAGTGAGTTCAACAAAAAGAAAAATCTAATTTGTGCTGCACATCCATAAAAACATCCATGTTTAGACTTCTTCTGTGTTCGCAAATCAGTCAGTGAATCATACCGTAATCAGTCACATGCACACACCACGGCCCATCGTCATTTACTGGACTAATGATGGGCGAATGGAAAAACAGCCCAACCCTAGTGTGGGCTACCGGAGCTGCAATACTTACTCTGAACTGCGTGGCGCTGAAGAGTCGAATGTTTTTACACACTGGGCCTTTAAGCTCTAAACCACAGCGACGTGCTGAAGCAACAGCAGTCATACGTGCTGTCAGCGCCGCTGCCGTTGTGTCTGCAGCAGGCTGTCTCCCCAACTGTGATTGGTCAAATGATGATGCGTGACTGACGCTACAACAAAGGTAGGTTGTGAACACGATGAAAACCTCTCCTGTCTCTGACTGATTCTCGTAGTGACTGAAACCCGACAGAAGACCAAATAGTTCCCACAGCTTCATCTCACCGCTCCCCATGGGGACGGGTCGAATGCAGGACGTAACTTCACCAGTGTGTGACGATGACTTTGGGACTTTAACTATACTTGGCTTCAAAAATCATTCATTAGAGAGATCTAATCACTCTAAAACTACAAGGTTCTACAACAGTGTGTGAATGAGTGAATGACTGGTTGTGATGTAAAACGCTTTGGGGGGTTTTAGAACCCCAGTAGTGCTAAACATATACAGATCATTATTTTAAAGATTGAACCTCATTCTCATTATTTCACTGTAATGTCCCACCATAGACTGACCATATATTCATTCATTCATCCACCAGTACCTGTGTCCATGCTGTCCAGGTCCAGGTGGTGAAGAACACACGATGAATCAGTCCCAGCTGATGGATGATCCTGAAGTGGTAGCAGGTTTTCTTTAGCCGTGTTTAGCTAACAGCTGCAATAGAAACAAAGCAGGAGAGCTGATTAAGATGCTGCTTCAGAACAACGCAGGAGATTAAAGATCCAACGATTTGGTTCTGATCAGCTGAGGACAGATCCAGTCTGGAAAAGAGGACCTTTGCTCACCAGAGTTCACGGAGTAGAGCTAACCGCTTTTTCCTCCAGAGTCACATTCAGATTCGGGACTTTTCCGTCGGAGAGTGTGAGCAGGATGGATGAGAGAGCGAGCAGCGATCCTGCATCATGACCAACTCAGATGAGCGAGTCTGATAGAGGGAACCTCTTCAATCTGATGAAAGCAGCAAAACGAGCGCGTTTCTCAGAGAGGCCAAAGGAACAGCAGCAGATCCAGAGGGCAGGAAGTCTAGAGAAAAGCTTTTCTCACCCACAACCTGATTCTGGAGCTCCGATTGTCACGAAGACCGCAGAATATCTTCTCTGGTTCTGGAAAGAACTCCACCAAGTTGTTGAGGAGGAGAAGAAAGTTTCCACAGCCTGGTGAGAAGATTTCTGCAGCAGCAGCAGTTAGTCGCTTTAGCTGATCAACTCTCCCAGAGACTGAAGTGAAGACATTTTTACTGCAGAGCCTCAAATGTTCTCCTCACACACCAGAACAACAAGCTAGCTCTGCTAGCAGCTTCCGGTTTCTGCTTCTTCAGGTGGTCGGTGACCAGCGTAAAGGTGCACTAGCGCCACCTGCTGGAGCAGAATAAAACACACCTGTGTGTTCAGAATGGGACTAATAAAACACACATAACATGTGATATCTTCCTCAAACAATTACTTAAAGTAAAGACAAGTTAGTTTTACACCTGTTATAACAATTCTGTAATTTACTTTATTTTAATCTTGTTTGTTTTTATCTCATTTGTTTTTCTTTGATGTAAAGCTAATTATGTGTCTGTTGCTGCTGCCTCTTGGCCAGATCGTTGTTGTAAATGAGAATGAGTTCTCTATCGACTCATCTGGTTAAATAAATAACATTTTAAGTTGTTTCTTCAAATGCACTGACAAACAAGTAAAATAATTTTCCTTTTTGACGTTTCATTATCTAAATACATTTTATTTACTTATTTTTATATTCTTTATTTAACCAGGAAGGTTCCATTGAGATTAAAGTTCTCAGTTTTGAGGGAGCCCTGGCCAAGAGGCAGCAAAAGATACAGTCACAACATTTCTGTTACAGTTATGTACAAAATTATAGAAGGCAGTTACAACCAGGGCGTGGGACAAGAAGTAAGCCACAAGTTGCCTTATGTTGCAATCATCACACTTTATTCTCCACATGCATTAGGAGAGATTCTGCCACCCCAGTCCCTGTGACAAATCTGAATATTTTACAAGATGTACACATTTTGATTCTTCCTCTCATGCTGCAAAGTTTCACGTTGACCCCTCCCTAACTTTATTGAAGGCCATCACCTGTTGCCATGGTAACTGACACCCCTCTCTGCTTTCACTCCCTCCTCCAGATAAGATGGGAGACACATTGCCCCATCTGCTTCCTACCCTATCTTCCTTTGCTAAGGCTGCGATGACCTACGCCCTGGCTTTTTCCCGTTGAACAGCTTTTAGATGGTCTAGTCTGCACCTGGCCTTCGCCTGTTGAGAATCTCCTTCAGCACAAGCTGAAACTTCTAGCAGTATCAGCCTGCATAAATCAGATATAGGTCTAACTCAGTGCTAGAACGTACCAGTCACAGGTGAGTCATCCATTTGGTATATGCATCATTCAGTTCAAAGGGACGTGAGTAACACCCGAACATTGAAATGATTAATATGGGGATTAACATACAGGTGATTCATTATAAGCATATAAATACATGTGTGATCAAACCTTATTTTCACAAAGCATACTGATGATTAACCATAGATAGATAGATAGATAGATAGATAGATAGATAGATAGATAGATAGATAGATAGATAGATAGATAGATAGATAGATAGATAGATAGATAGATAGATGATAGATAGATAGATAGATAGATAGATAGATAGATAGATAGATAGATAGATGATAGATAGATAGATAGATAGATAGATAGATAGATAGATAGATAGATAGATAGATAGATAGATAGATAGATAGATGATAGATAGATAGATAGATAGATAGATAGATAGATAGATAGATAGATAGATAGATAGATGATAGATAGATAGATAGATAGATAGATAGATAGATAGATAGATAGATAGATAGATAGATAGATAGATGATAGATAGATAGATAGATAGATAGATAGATGATAGATAGATAGATAGATAGATAGATAGATAGATTTTTCCTGGTTTGTGAAATAAGATTTGTGTAGAGATGAGATTTCAAAGTTCTTTTGAGGTAAAGCCACATAAACAGAACACAGATACAAAATGTGCATCCCAACAAATAAGACAACCAACACCCAAATCCCATCTGTCAGCCAGAACTGGCCCACCAGCAATGTTCTTTTTTCTCTTGGAACTCTGGAGGCTCGGGGGAGTTCTTAAAGCTATGGTATTATCCAGACGGTTTGGACGTAACCTTAGGGAAAGCGTTATGTTCTTTTGGGGCCGGCTTCCCTTACTTCCGCTTGTCGTTATGTTGTTGAGGGTGGTTACTGTTTGGTTGAGTCTGCTCCCCCTTTGTTTCTGGTAAGGCCTCATATTTGGATTCTCTGGGTGAATCCCCAGTATTCGCACAGATAAGTTCATGTTAAGGCCGAGGGGTAAAGGGCCATATTACTCAGAACATTTCTGTCTTAACCCCCAGAAACCCAAATTTAGAAAACAACTGCAAAATCTTTTTTTAAACTTTCACATGTTGTTCTAGGAGGCCAGAAAAACAGGCCTATTTACACATTTTAACAGCCCATAGCGTTGCAGAACTGAACAATAGGACCTATGAGCAATGTAAATGTGGTTTTAAAAAGAAAAATAAATGTGGAAGGTTTATTTTTGTAGACTTAAATCTGATGTTGTAATATTACAACCGTGGGTCTCTGGGGTTAACAAGTCTTCTTCCATTTTGTGTTGTCGTTTATCTCCCGTAGGGACGCTTTTTGGTTCTCGACCGGAAATGGGTGGCTTGCCAACTCCGGGTCGGGAGAGAGGTCCAACCTCAAGTGGAGGTGTTTAAGTATCTTAGGGTCTTGTTCACGAGTGAGGGTAGGAGGGATCGAGAGATCGACAGGCGGATTGGTTCAGCGTCTACAGTGATGCGGACGCTGAGCCGATCTGTCGTGGTGATGAGGGAGCTGAGCCAGAAAGCCAGGCTCTCAATTTACCGGTCGATCTACGTCCCAATCCTCACCTATGGTGATGAGCTTTGGGTAATGACCGAAAGAACGAGATCGCGGATACAGGCGGCCGAAATGAGTTTCCTCCGTAGGGTGGCCGGGCTCAGCCTTAGAGATAGGGTGAGGAGCTCGAACATTCGGGAGGGACTCGGAAGAGAACCGCTGCTCCTCCGGCTCGAAAGGAGTCAGTTGAGGTGGTTTGGGCATCTGGTCAGGATGCCTCCTGGATGCCTCCCTCGGGAGGTGTTTCAGGCATGTCCTGCCGGCAGGAGGCCCCCGGGTCAACCCAAGACATGTTGGAGAGGTTACATCTCCAATCTGGTCCGGGAACGCCTTGGGGTCCTGCCGGAGGAGCTGGTGGAGGTGGCCGGGGAGAGGACGGTCTGGAGCTCCCTAGTTGGGATGCTGCCCCCGCGACCCGGACCCGGATAAGCGGAGGAAGACGACGACGAGGGACGCTTTTTGTTGATAAAATGTTTGTTTTGTCAAATATGATTTGGTGTACTGCTCCCTATTTCATTTTTTTTTTTGCACTCACGTACCTGTGTTAGCCCTCCCAGGATCCCAGACCTGGTTGAGGTTGTAACAGAAGAACTAGTTTTATGCATTGTGTGTAAATAAACTCAAGTTTGGAGGAAGACATTGTCTCAGCCCATTGTTTGATCTAGCGTGATCACTCTCCGTACCTAAAATAATAACAGTCGTGGGGCTCTAGGTTCACACTTGTACCAAATTAATATGTAGTCAATTTGCTTTCTTTCGCTGAATTTCTACTTTGTTCTTGATGGTCGCACGTGTAGCATCATGAATGGCCTCATTTTGTGGGGCAAAGTTCACACTTTCCAGCTGGGTCACAGCTGGGTCGAGCAGTAACTTCCATCCACAGATTAAACCACCAGGAGCCGAATAGTCTACAATAACACCGTCTTCAATCTGACTGTTTATCTGTTTGCTGTTCCATCACGAGATGAAGGACCTTCAACTCTAATCAAATAATTTAATAAACTCTTTTATTATAAGGTTTACTATAATCATCATAAATGATCATCATGGTTCATTATAAATGTATTTTTAACCAATGAAATGACTTATTATTCTTTGGTTAATAATAATTATTATTTATGATAATCAGTAATGTGTGTTCAGTAACCAGAAGGTCTTTTGCACGTGTTTACACCTCATGCAGGACTCACTTCAAGGTAACTGCCTCACATGTCTTCCATAGTCATGCTTCCTGTCTCTGAGAGGGCGTGTTCTGAGGTTTTGTTAAAACCAAAGCTCCACAGCTTAAGTTCAGTTCTTGAACCAAGCTGATACTTCTTCGTGGCAACGAGAGTATCCCAGAGGAGAAGGGTCGGCCGCCTGACTCCTCACTAAGCGTTCTGTCACGCCGATAGAATAGCTCTGAATAAACACACCTATAACCAGCTGACACTACGAGATTCCTTAAGAATCTGCCCGGATGCAAAGCCACATCTACCTGTGCACCTCACGGCAACTCTAGGACCAGAGAAAGTCGGTAACCCTTGGTCATCTGCCGGACCTGAGTACCCCCGAAGCTGACAACATCCTCCAGACCTCCAGATCCACACAGAGGGTCGTCTGAACGGTGAGGTAGAACACAGATTGCGTCCGATGTTGTTCTCTCTAAGAAACCATCAGTTAGCTGCAAAACCAACGTTTCACCCAGAACGCGTTCTCCCTCTGAAAGAAAGCTTCTGAGATTTCATTCACGCATCCAAACCTCATCATTCCACTTAGTTTTCCATCTAGACACAGGGGTTGCTTTAATAACAAGTTTTAATATCAAAACTGTTGTTCAAATTTGTCATTTATAAATTGTTATTCATAAATTGTCTATTTTAAGTTGTCAGATTTGAAATTGTTAGTAATAATTTCTTAAATTTTTAAACCTGACTCTTCTTTGAATGAAACACAGAATGGTGTGCATTTTCAGTTATTGAATCAGCAAAGAACCTTATTAAGTCTTCTGTTTAATAAATAAACTTTTGCTATTAATTTAAACATCTTAAATTAAATATTAATCCATAGATTAAATATAAACCAAGCTCGTTGGTGTATGAACTTCTATCGATTATATTAATATCCTAGATGTTTATATATGATAGAAGCTTCATATGTTAACTTGTTTGTCTTTCTCAGAATCTAACTAAGCTGATAGCAACAGCGTTAGTTCTAGTATGTAGATTAACCCTACACACGTGTGAACCATGTGCACAAACACATTCAGTGCAAACACACACGCGCACACATGCAGTTAAATGTCTTAAATTAAATTGTGTGCATTAATCTTATAGTACAAGCAGTAGAGTTGTTATCATCTGTAATATGTTTTAATGGTGGGCTGGTTTGATTAATATGTGTGATAGGCTGGCCGATCAACTGGTTGAGACACCAACCAGTCCTGCTACATCTACATACAAACAGTCCAAAGAACTGGGTGTGAGCGTAGCCTCTGTGTGGCCCTCCACATACGGCCCCTTGAACACCCAGATGGTCTGTTACACATACGTTTCTGGTTCTGATCAAGCGGCCAAGCAGTCAACAATATTTACATACAAACAGTCCCAAGTCAATATATACGTCTGTGGTACCAAGAACTGGGTGTGAGTGTAGCCTCATTGTGGTCCCCACAACATGATGAACACAAGCTTTAAAAACTCTGGACATCTCCTGTGATTTAGATTCATCATATATTTCCCCCAGTATCAGCTGAGTGTCTCATTTAGTAACAAAACATGATTGTGAACTCTCTCTCAAGTCAAGTTTATTATATAGCCCATTTCATACACAAAACGGTAGCCCAATGTGCTTCACATAGTTAAAACAATCACAAGTGAAATGAAATAGTTAAAATGTCACATCATGTTGTGTAAAATAAAATCAAAGAATACTGACACAGAACATAGCACACAAAAATAAAAGCATATTAAGTACAATTATTGGTAGCGCTTTCTTTTACAGTCCTCTAATTACTTAGTCCTCTAATTACTTAGTACTTACATGGTAATTAGTAAGTTAGTGAATTGTTTCTGAATTCTTAAATTGTTATTACCATTGTTGAGGGTCTGACCTCATGAGGAAATTACTATGCAGTGATTTTCTCCAAAATGACTGTGCTTAAATTGCTCTGAGAAGCAAATAATCACATCAGCGCCAAGAAACTTCATTTCCCATGATGCTTTGCACACGGAAGCATTGGGTGATGTCACCGCCTAGTACCAGAAACACGTTCTGCGCATGTGCGGGAAGCCGTGGAGCTTTTCCCGCGAACTAAGACCATAAATCTTCAGCAGAGACAAAGAAACCTCGTTCTTTTGCCCAGGATACCTGGCGGTAAGGACACGCTTGTCGAACGCTCCGACAACTTGAGCACGCGGAAGCTCTAAGTGCCCAAGATGAGCCCACGCAACCGCTGGAAACTACACTCAACTCCATCGGGACCTGACTGGGAACGAGCGGAGCTCCATTCAGCTCTCAAGAGACGCTGTAAGTTGTCAAACTCAGCACAAAAGAAACTTCGTTCTCTTTGTGTCCAGCCCGTGGAGAAACACTCCCGGAGAACGCCAAACAACGGAGAAAGCATCAAACCGACGGATGACGCTGAAAACTGCGGAGAAA